ATTCCTAGAAGTCCAAAGTCTTCTCCACCAGAACAAATGAGACGCTCGCCACGCAAATGTGACATGTGAGTAATCTTTCTTAGTTATTTGATTTGCTAATTTTAATAAACTTGATATAAAAACCATATTGCAGCAAGTCGCCTGTCAGCAACCTAAATAAATCTCCTCCCACTGCTACAACGTGCTTGGACACACTACACATACAACACGAAAAGATGTCAATAGCCTCCACACCATCTTCACCAACAAACCAGGCCGTGGAGAACGGCCGCATACCAACGGCAGTAGCAAATACGCCTACATTACGAACAATGTCCGAAACGTTTGTGGACTCAGAAGTAGAGACAATTGACAAGATCAGCGCCATGATTGCTAGCACTACAAATGAAAGTACTCCGGTTGCAGATGCGAATAGTAATTCTAGTATCAAAAGTGTCGGCGAACGAGAGAGCAGCATCCTCAGCAGTGGCGTTGTTCCGAGCCAATTGCTGCCGCTGTTGCTGAACATCCGCTCTGCTTTGGTTCAACATCAAAACATTGTCAAAGTCTACAGCATCATGCTCAGTGATTCCTGATTGGCCTTCGCCGCTGCCGCCCTTTTGTAGGCGGTGTCGAAAACCGGCACTCCCACCACCACCACCACCACCACCTCCACCACTGCTATTGCTATTCGAGTCCAGCGACTCGCAATGCGATGAAACAGCTTCCGGCGACGGCGATTCTGCGCTGTCGGGTATGCTATTTGTTTTGGGTACACTGCACCCGCTTGTTGAATACGGAATATTAGCAGCGGCACTAGTTGCTGCCGGTAATAGATCAGCTGTTATGGTATTACTGCCGTGAGGCGACGATTTCTTCATATCAGTTAGATGCATATTATATGTCGAGGACTTTGATGCGTTGGATGCAACAGCCGACGTGTCCTCTGGGCGCGTGAGATTACTAGGATTGCTGTGAAGTGACTGCGTGCTCATGGAATGGGGCATCGGTGGCGATGGATTTTGTTGATGTGACTGTAGAGGCTGTTGCTGTTGTTGATGCTGTTGGTGTTGTTGCATGCGTGGTGACGCTTGCTGCTGATGTTGTTGCTGCGTTTGATGCATTGGCGGGTGTATGTGTTGTTGTTGCGATGAAACATGATGCTGTTGGTTCTGCTGCGACAATTGTTGCTGTTGTTGCGCCGATTGTGGTGGCAAAAGACTGTGTGAGTGTGAGTGTGCGTGCGGATGCGGTGGGTAAAGTATAGCATGTTGTGGCGGTGGCGGTGGCAAGTGCTGTGACATATGCTGCTGCTGCGAATGCTGCTGATGGGGATAAGCGCCCTGTTGTGGCGGTTGCTGCTGCAAATGCATTTGATTGTAATCCATACCATGTAAAGGACCACCAGATTGCTGATGCATAACAGGAGATTGTGGGGTGGGCGGCGTGTGCGGGCCGTTATGTTTCATTGTAGATTGTGAAGGATTGTTGAAAGGTGAATGTTGCTGCTGCTGCTG